CTGGAATGTGCAGACCACAAAGGGTATGTCCAGACCCATAGCTTTTCCTGACCCCTTAAGTTTTAGTATCATGGAGGACAAATGTCATCATCCCCTATGGGTGATTGTACAGCAAAGACCCAGTTCCCCACCCTCCACACTGACAGCAGAGGCACCTTCCCTCCTGTTCTCTCTGCATTGCATGCTCTAGACTCAATAGAACCCTGGCTGCTGGTTCATCACTGGGTACCTGGTATGTGCAGGTGTTCACATGTGTCAACTAATTAAATGGGTAAAAATAAACACAGCAATACACCAAAGATGTTGACTTGAGAGAGAGAAAAATTGGGAGAGAAACATCCATTTGTTGTTCCATTAATTTTATACATTCATTGTTTAATTCTTGCATGTGCCCTCACACGAATGCAACCTGCAGTATAGGTGTTATCAAGATGATGCTCTAACCAACGGAGCTACCTTACCAGGGCCAGACATATCTGGGGTTTTCGGAAAAACAACACACTAATGTACTTGAGCATAGACAGACACCAGAACCACCATGATGACAAATAGTGATAGAAGGCTAGAATAGGATGCATGGGGTTTCATAAGTGTTTCTTTATATGGATATATTTGAAATAAGGTATTACAAAGGTAGATTATATTCATGATCAGTACTTTTATATGCCAAGAAGGAAGCACTGAAAGAGTCTGGAAGAATTCAGTTTAAGAGATGCAGGCATGTATGGAAACATCAAAAGTGCATGTAAAAAAGTGTAATAGCCAGGCTGATGTAGGTCAGTGGTTAGTGTCGACCAATGAACCAGAAAGTCATGGTTCGATTCTCAGGCAGGGCACATGCTCAGGTTGCCAGTTCAGTCCCATGTTTGGGGTGTGCAGGAGGCTGCTGATTGATGACTTTCTCTTATCATTGGTGTTTCTATCTCTCCCTCTCTGAAATCAATAAAAATATATTTTTGAATATATGTTCTAAATCAATTATACTTAAATAACTATTTCAAAAATTTTTAACTTTCCACTTTCCAAATAATTTACTATTTTTATTAAGGATGCTCTTGAGCATATTTGTTGCCACTGTATCAGTATGTTGGAATTAAAATGTAATGATTTGCTATTGAAATATTTTATCATGCCCATGTTTACTGCCATCCGTTTGACAGCTTGAAACTGACCATAACGAGAGCATGTACAATGGGGCAATTAACAGACATTACAAACCTAGACTTCACTTCATGTATTAGTGAATGCTTAGACTTAAACAAGTGTGGTGGGGAATGTTAATAATGCATACATAAGGTACAAAGGGGGTTAAATTTTACATAGGCTACAAATTGAAGAAAAAAATTTTCCTTCCAGTATTCAAAACCTATAATTCCATATGGCAAAGAAGTCACTTGAGTCATTGAGAAATGAGTGAAATTCAAACTGTCTTAGATGCTGCACAGTCTTCCTTCTAGTTAAAATAATACATTTCTTTAAACAATTTGAAAAAGATTCTTAGCTGACATTTTAACAAAGGAGAGAAAAACAATGTAAACAAACGTATGAAAAAAAACCAACAACACTAACCATAAAAATTTCTTAGGTAAATGGAATTAAAACTAAAGTGAGTTAACACTATATTCATTTCCTGGGATATTATTTTAAAAGTTTAACCATTGCATGTGCTGGCAGGGTTGCAGAAAAACTGGAATTTCTATATACTGTGGGTTATGAGAAGGCAAAAGCAATCACCATTTTGGGTCACAGGGCCATATATCTTAAATGGAAAACATTCACCTACACTGCAACAGTTTGAAAAGTAAAACATATGTCGATATAGAGAACTGAACACAAATATGCCCAGCAGATTTATGTATAATACTTCAAACCTAGAAATAACCAAAATAATAGACAGGTCAATAAAGTAGTTATCCAATGCTACTCAGCAATAAAAATCATTAAGTATTGACATAAGCAATACTGTAGAATCTCAAACTGTGTAGCATGGAGGAAACCAGTACTTGTTAAAGAATACACACAAAATAGTGCCTATAAATTATGAAAAATACGAACTATTCTATTGTAAAGGAATGAATGTCAATGACTGCATGGAGAGCCGAGAAAGACAGAAAGAGAGATTATAAAATGGCTGGGAAAAACAGGATATGGCAAAAGTAGGTTTAGAGTTTCTGGTATAGAAAAGAATATAATCCTATATGATAAAGAGGTAATATACAAATTGACTGTCACACCCTCAAACAAGATGGCCACCACAAGATGGCCAGCAGGGGACGGCAGCTGTGGGCAATCAGGCCATGCAGGGGAGGGCAGTTGGGGGGACCAGGCCGGCAGGTCGTTATGACGTGCACTGACCACCAGGAGGCAGTTGCTCAACGCAGGAGCTGCCCCCTGGTGGCCAGTGTGCTCCCACAGTGGGAGTGCTTCTCAGTTGACTGACCCATCCTAGCAGCCCACCAGTCCAGCAGCAACCACTCCCTCCCTCAGTGGTCGTGCAGGTCCTATCTCCAGAAAACGGGCCAGGCAGTGAAGGGTCGGTGCTGCTGGGCCATTCCTGAAAGAACTGCGGGCCTCCTGGAAGTTGGGCTCGGGCACCACAGCCACTTCCCCTACCTAGACGCTCGAACGACAGTAGGGCGGATCTGGAATTCAGGCTGGCAAGGGCACCAACCCTCCTGTCCGAAGGGCTGATTGCTTCCCTGCCCCCCAACCCCATCCCCCTCGAGATGGGTACCAGACACAGGGCTCAGGGTAGGTGAGTGCCGCTGCATCAGTGCAAGTCTCTCCAGATCAGGGCTGACTATCTGGTGTACTGGGGCTGGGATGAGCGGGAGCGGCAGGCAGGAACGGCAGACAGGAACAGCAGGCAGCATTGACCTGCAGGTTTTGGCCCAATCCCTGCAGCCCACCCCGAAGGGACCCCACCCGTGCACAAATTCATGCACCAGGCCTCTAGTTTTAAATATATATAGGGTGTCCCAAAATTCACGCAAGGTTTGAATTTTGCGTGAGCATTAACAACAATAAAAAAATAAAAGCCTGATTTTACTTGGTTTATTGAAACAGATTCTAATATCTGTTGCCCTTTGATTTCAATCCCTTCAATTTGATAAGCATTACCAAGTACCAATTATGGCCCAGGAGCAGGGACAATGAAGACCAATGAAGACCACGGCTTTGCGTATGTGCCAGCAAAGCCGTGGAGGCCATTTACCCGATGTGCTATTCTATACATAACCCTATACTGTATACTTTATGAATCCATAAAAAAATGTACAATTTTTAATTATAAACCTGTGTTTTCTATCAAAATTACTTCTTGTGTGAATTTTGGGACACCCTATATATTTACTTAAAACTTATGTTTTAAATCAATCACACTTATATGAAACTTTAAAAAATGTTTAAAACTTACCACTTTCCAATAATTCAGCTAATTATGAATGTTCTTGATCACATTCATTGCTACTCTATCAGTATGCTGAAAAAAATATATATGTAAAAGGCTAAGCAACTGTCTGACTGCCTGACAAGTAGCTATGATGCGTAATGACCACCAGGCTGCAGATGCTCAACGCAGGAGCTGCTGAGTTGTGGTTCCTTGGCAGCAGTGGTTCTCAGGTGATGCACTGGTTCTCGGGTGATGCACCACAGAACCAGAGAGGAGGGAGCTGGATTTCGGGATGCGTCACCCGAGAACTGCCCTCTCACAATCCAGGAACCCTCTGGGGATGTTGACGAGCTGGATTTGGCCTAATCCCTGCAGGCCAGGCCGAGGGACTCCACCTGTGGGAGGGACCCTTCAAGCCACAGTGCCGCCCCAGGTGCTGCTGACTGGGGAGGGACTGTGGGAGGTTGGCTCTAACGCTTGTGGGGACAGTCCCGCCCCGCTGGCCACTTCCTAATTATTTTCCTTTCAATGTGCATGAATCCATGCACCCAGTCACTAGTAAAATATGATGTATTACATAATGTCTTAGGACCAGGTTCAACGCCATCATTTTGGCAGTTTCAATGTGGTGATGATCAGTATTTACACCAGGGAAACTGTCAACTACTACTAACCTAGACTTCGCTTAATGTATTAATAAATGCTTAGACTTAAAGAACACTGGTGGAGAATGTTAACAATGCAGATTAAACTTATAAGTGTATGGTACAAGTGGGCTATAAATCAGACATAGGATAAAAATTGAGAAAAACTATTTTGTTTATAGAATTCAAAACCAAGAATTCCATATGGCAAAGAAGTCATTCGAGTCATTGAGGAATGAGTGAAATTCAAACATATGTCTTAGAGGCTGCACTGTCCTATTGTGTAGAATAAGAAATTAACTTTTGAAGTAGATAAAAATTTTTGAGCAGATATTTTAACAAAGGAGATAAAGTGTAAAGAAATGCATGAAGATATATATGATGTTTGAAGCAAAGAAGTCATTCGAGTCATTGAGGAATGAGTGAAATTCAAACATATGTCTTAGAGGCTGCACTGTCCTATTGTGTAGAATAAGAAATTAACTTTTGAAGTAGATAAAAATTTTTGAGCAGATATTTTAACAAAGGAGATAAAGAAAGTGTAAAGAAATGCATGAAGATATATATGATGTTTGAAAAATGGGGGGGGGCTCTCACCATTTTCTTCAGGTACATCTGTATTATTGGATTTTAAAAAACAAGCATGTATTTCTTATAATAAATTAAACGAAGAACAACAAAAAAAAAGAAATGCATGAAGAATTAATCACCATCAAACATTTTTAGGGAAATGGAATAAAAACAAAACCAAGTTAACAGTATACTCACGGATGGGGCTAGCATTGAAAAAGATTAACCTTCACCTTTGCTGGCAGGGTTGCAGAAAAATGGAATTTTCATTACTGTGGGTGGGAAGGCAAAGTGATTGACCATTGTAGATCACAGTTCCCCATATATTAAAATATAACACATTCACTGACACTGGAACACTATGATAAGTAAGACATACACCTGTAGGAAGAACTGAATACAATATCCCCAGCTGTTTTATTTAGAAAACCCCAAACGTAGAAATAACTGAAACCATAGACAGCTCAATAGTTAGAGTGGTTATCCATAGAATACAGTATTTCCTAGCAATAAAAAATTAACTATTTACATAAACATTACTGTCGAATCTCAAAATATCTGTGTAGCATGAAGGAAGCCAGTGTTCCTTAAAGAGAATTCATCACCTTATAATGCCAATACAATTATGAAAAATATGAACTACTCTATTGTACGGGAAGGTAAATCAATGCCTGTATGGAGGGCAGGGGGGGAGGCAGAAAGCTGACAAAAGGACTGGAAGTAAATACAGGGTGTGGCAATAGCAGGTTTACAGTTGTTGATACTGAAAATAATACAATAATTAATAATAACACAAATATAAACTCTCCATGGCCACTGTGCCTCATTTTGCTGGGCGTGATCACGTTCACTGAAAGCCACTGGTTTGATTCCAGGGCAGGGCACATGCCATCCTGAATCCCCAGGAATGGCCATGCAGGAGGCAGGTGATTGCTGTTTCTCTCTCTCCCTTCCTTTCAACATTTAATAAAAATACACTTTAAAATATATAAAATAGTTACTTGAAAAACAGGAGGCAGGTGATTGCTGTTTCTCTCTCTCCCTTCCTTTCAACATTTAATAAAAATACACTTTAAAATATATAAAATAGTTACGTGAAAAAGAGAATTAACTGTGTGTTTGGCATACTCACAACAGTAAGTCTACTTTTTCCCCCACATGGATGTGGGTAACAGAAGCCTATTTCACCTGTGACGGTTTCTCAGCTTTATCTGTATGTTCAACCTCACCAAATAGTGCACATTAGAAAAGTGCATTTCCTTGGTTGTCAGTTATACATAAACCTAAGTAAAGCCTTGAAATCTGGTTCCATACAAATCCTAGACATCCCTCTGTTGTTAGAAAATTAAGATGGCAACTCTATATAGACACAACCATCCCTCTCCTCATTTCTTGGGAGGACCAGCCTTGCCTCAGTGGCAGCAAATATTGGCAAGCAGTGAAGACTATTGCCATCAGCCCAGCCGGTGTGACTAAGTGGTTGAGCATCGACATGTGAACCAGGAAGTCACGGTTCAATTGCCGGTCAGGGCACATGCCCAGGTTGTGGGCTCCATCCCCAGGGTGGGGCGTGCAGGAGGCAGCCGATCAATGATTCTCACTCATCATTGGTATTTCTCTCTCTCTCTCTCTCTTTCTCACTGAAATCAATAAAAGTATATCTTTTTAAAACAACAACAAACTATTGACATTAAAATTAACAGGAATGCTGAGTGCTTACAAAAGACACATCTGGGACAGATTACAGGATTATTCTTCCTCTAGCTTTGACTTCTTGCCTGTTGAGCAACTTGAATGCACAAAGTCATGTGGCCTTTCTTTCAAGTCCATGGGCTGCAGTAAATAATAAGCCAATATTGGACAAAAAGTGATTTCCTGCCATTATGCTGTCCCTTCCAAACCACATCAATTTTTGGATAAACAATATTCATCTCTACATGCTGAAAGATCACATTTGTGTTTGCAAATCATCTGTGGCAGTGAATAAAACCAAAATTAAAGGTACAAATGTAAACACACCTTTAAAAAAGATGGTAAACCAGAGCAGAGGAGAGCACAGAGTTTGCAGGTTGGTGAATAAGAAACCCCCAAAATTTATCAAAGCATAATGTGAGTACCACTATGTCCCTGAAAGAGGTAGCACTGCTTAGCTGAGAAGGGGTGCTCGGGATGAATCCTGGGTCAGGTCCATCTTCTAGTCATAGAGAAATGAATGAAGATACTGCCAAGGGCTTGGAGGAACCATAATTACTTCAAGCAGAAGTGACAACACAGAACACATTCCCCTGAGCACCCAGGGATGATGACCATGTACACTCCTCAGGTGAGCCAGGTGTTAGAGGTGAAATCTCTTCAGCAACAAACACGGTGACACCATTTGGGTCGTAGGTCTGGGCATGTTAGCAAGTACAATGCAGTTCCTTCAAGTCTCACTTGTATTGGAAATTTATGAGGAATCTAGCAGAGTGTATGTTCTCATAAATGGAGTTTACATTCACATAAGTGGGTCCCATAGAGTCTCCTTAAGTGTTCTTATTCTAAGTGAGAAAAATAAAACATTCCCTGCACCTTTACGGCTTTTCTCCAGTGTGAACTCTCTTGCGATGTGTAGTCAGGTTAGAACTTTGACGAAAGGACTTCCCACATTCACTACACTCATAAGGCTTTTCTCCAGTGTGAACTCTGTGGTGTTTAATAAGGTCAGTCCGTCGAGTGAAATGCTTACCACATTCGCTACAACAATATGACTTTTCTCCAGTGTGAACTCTCGGGTGTCTAGCCGGTTTATGTTTGTAGCTAAAAGATTTTCCACATTCACTATACTTACTACATTCACGAGTCTGAACTCTCTTGTGTCGACTGAGGCTATAGCTTTTACTAAAGGATTTCCCACAATTACTACACTCATAGGGCTTTTCACCAGTGTGAACTCTCTGGTGTTTAGTGAGGTCAGTCTTTTGACTGAAATGCTTCCCACATTCACTACATGCATATGGCTTTTCTCCAGTGTGAATTCTTTGGTGGGTAATAAGGTCAGTCCTTTGACTGAAATGCTTACCACATTCGCTACACCCATATGGCTTTTCTCCGGTGTGAACTCTGCGGTGTCTAGTGAAGTCAGACATGTAACTGAAGGACTTCTCACAATCACTACACTCATATGGCTTTTCTCTAATGTGAACTCTGCTGTGTTTAATGAGAGCAGTGCTTTCACTGAAGACCTTCCCACAATCAGTACACTCAAACGGCTTTTCTCCAGTGTGAACTCTTCCATGTTGAGGTTGGTTAAAGATTCGTCTAAACCGTTTCCCACATTTATTAGAACCATAAATCATATCTCCAGAGCAGAGACCTTTCTGATAAGCAACTTTCTGTTTCTGGCTGGCAGCTGTTTCACATTCAATCCACTGGTGATGTCTTTTTCCACTGAGACATTCCTGTGAAATCTCATTGTTACTGTGTGGCTCCATAGTGTTAAGAGTGGCCTGGTGCTGGAGAAGCTCTGAGATGGCTGGGGAGTCTTCCCCAACCTCCGTCCTGGCTGCAGGCACCCTGCATAAGTAGAAGCAGCAACTGGTCCCAAGCGGGGACCTCTCCATATCTTCTTTCCAGGGCTTCTCTCCACTGGCATCCTTCTGTTGCTGGTGAGAGTTTGCACTGAAACACAAGTCTCTCACACATGCATCACTTAAGAACACGTTCTTCTCAAAGTAAACCACTTGTAACTCAGTCAGGTGCAAAATATCTTTTAACACTGAGAAGCACGGCTTACACAGATGGGTCCTCTGGGTGGCTGCAGCTGTCTTGGAAGCCCTGACATGAGACTCTCCTACAGATACACTGTGCTGAGAATAGGCCTCCACATCATTCATTTTATGCCAAGGACCTGAAAACAAAGAAATGAGCAGGAAATGAATGTTGACTCTGGTGACAGGGTGAAGTCCCCTTATAAAAGTGTGTTGCACATACTACATTGGTTTCATGCAATTGGCTGAAAATGAAAGACCTGAAAGATATATTAGTAAGAGGCCCCTGTGAAGTTCTTGACCACTGAAGATCACAAAACAAGGGAGATTTCAACAGAAATAGAGCAAAAACATGGCAAGCAGCACATGGAAGAGAAGTGGACTGTCCAGCTCATTCTGCTGCTAACAGCATTCAGTAGATCTTCTCTGCTGGTGACATGGGCAAGCTGTGCAGATGGTTGGTTACATCTCATTCCAAGTAAAATTCAATACAGAAAGAGCTGGTGTTTGAGGGGTGTTTAAGCATTTATGTGCTCCTCATAACACTTGCAAAGGTCCATGTTGTAGAATACTGCAGAAAGAGATGTGCAGAGGAACAGGTGATGTAAAAAGGACACAAAGGCGAAGATAGACAAAGCTAGGAAGTCACTGATAAAATGACAAGTCAGCAAAGTGTCAAGTGTGAAAAAGGAAAGGTATAAATGAGGTGTGGCCATTGGAACCTGCACCAAACACTGTTGTACAGCAGCAGCTTCCAGGTACAATATGAACACCATCCTTATGTCATACCTTCCCCAAGTTGCCACTCAGAAGGGCCAGGCATCTTCTGAGACCATCCTGTATGTTCACCCTGGAGAAAACCAGGGTTCTCCCTGTACCTCATTCTCTAGAAATATGTACAAACTAAATATTCTGAGTATCAATGATAGACAACAGAGGTGAGCAGCCATCACTAGCCCATAGCATCTGGCTTGCAATATTATTGAGGAAAGGTAATATTACAAACAACAATTGAAGGAGGGTCTTAAAAGAACACCCCCTGGTTCAGGCATTCAACAAGGTCCTCATCTAAGGAAATGCTCAGAAGTGGAGGCCACGGATCAGGATATAGTCACCCTCCCTGGGAGAGGAAGAGCAGGTGGGACCCATTAAGCTGTCTGTACATGTGTTGACACCCAGACACATCCTGCAGTTTCTGAGGCAACGGGTGTTAAGGAGGTTTATGGAGTCTATTGCTCAGAGCTCTCCGCAGAGCTCAGCACTGGCAGCCACAGCCCATTTGACAAGACAGTGGGGGAAATTAGCAGAGCCCATGGTCTTTATTTGAGAGAGAGAATGATATGTCTGGAGAATAAATAAAGAGTGGGCATCACTTCGGGACCCTAGGAGAGATGTGAAGGTCTTACCTACAAATGATACAAGTGCAAACACTTCCAGCATCACATCACAGTACAGACGTCTCTGAGATTCATCAAGGATCTCCCACTCCTTCCGAGAGAACGCAATGGCCACGTCCTCAAAGTTCATATCCTGTCATAATGGAGACAGCACATCCCATGATAAGATTCTCTCTTGAGATTCCAAGCTTGTCATACTCCTCACCCTGCACATCTATATGCTCCCTCAACTCCCCACATCAGGAAAGGTAGCAGGCTTTGGTCCATCAAAGTCAATCTCTCCTTATATTCCTACTGATGCTGTGTCTTCCCACAACAATAAAGGCAGATGAACAAATACAAGAAACCGGTGCTCTGATCCTCAAATGTGAGTCACACTGCCCCTTTTCAATAGCAGTGGGTGTCTGGAACATAGGGTAGGAAGAAATGCTGCACATAAAGGGAATGTGATGGATTTGACACTCGTCTTGTCAGGCAATATCTATGTTGTCCTCTAAATTGTCCCTCCAAGACACCGTAAAACATGGTAATGCCCATTATACTTCTGACTCCAATCCCAGTTTGCTGAGGCCATCACTTTGCATTACCTGCTGCCAATAGTTCTTTGATCCACACTTGTCTCACATAGCTTCATTCCCAGAGGCATAACTTCACCTCTAACAAATAAGCCATGACGAGGACAGGGTGTTTCCTAATCAGCTTCTTTTTCAAAATTCTAGTTCACCGCCTCTGTAATATATTTCCCTCTGACTCTTCTCTCTTCTCCTTTCCCCATGCCAGTGGAGATTTACAAACGCAGGTGACACTGATGTATGCTCTCTCATTCCTATTGTTCACTGGGTCAGCCCTCAACAAGAAATGGCAGGTGGGGAGATATACAGCACCTAAACCCTGGCCCTGGCATGTAGCACCACAGCAACCCATCTTGTTGGGAATTCCCCATATTAAATCATATTTAATCATATTACCCTAAAATTCCCAGTATTAAATCATAAAGACACCATCAGAAATGGATGCCCTTTTCATTCACTCATATGTTAATGTTAGTGCCGTGCCCTCATGAATTCACACTCCCTCTCCAAGTGCAAATCACTCTTCCTACTACACTTCTCTCATTCCTGAACTCGCAGAGCCTCAGCCCCTATAGCCATCTCCTGGGTTTTCTACTCAGTACTCAGCATGTGTGTTCCAGAGAATGCTTGACAAATTCAAAGATCAAGTATTCAGTCCAGTCATAGCAACAGTCTTGAACCTGCTATGAAGGCCTCCCTCCCTGACTGTTTATTCCTTCAACCTCACCTACTGAGAACCACATCACATCTCAGATGTCCATAGCCCACCTCCACTGGTGCTGCACCTGATGTCACTTCACCAGTCACAGGCTTCATCACTCAAGTCCCATCACCTATGGCCCTCTACCCTATGCCCAGTGAGTGTCACAGATGACCCCTCATGGCCCTACGCAAGTCAACCAAAGTGACTGCAACACCTCAGGCCACACCCAATGGCACAAAAAGTTCCTGGTGGATGTTTCAGAAGTAAATATGCACCATTCCCAGTCTCAACCTGTTTGAATTACTCTTCAGCCTCCCATTTTAAAAAATTATCTATACTCCTTCCTGGTCCATAATTCTCCACAAGCTTTTGAAGAAGTCTTCATCCTAAACTACCCCTCAGAGTTGAAGATGCTTATGAACTGCTTTCTGAAATCTCAGACTCTAACAGGCTAGAAAGAAAAGTGTTTGTATCCCCAAGGAATATTACTCTTCTTTGATTTTCTCCATCTTAGTGGATGGTGCTTCCATACCTGCAGCTGCTAAATCCTAAATGTCATGACTTCTCTGACTCTTATCTCTCTCTCTCACACACATCCTCAAAATTAGAATATTTAGGTGGCCACACCTAAAACACCAATCCATAATGCAACTGTTTCCCCACTTCCACAGCCACCATCATGGGCCAGTTCCCATCACACTCACTAAGACTATCTTCCTAGTATTTGTACAACCTCCCTCACACCCATATTGTCCATCATGCTGCAGCCACAGAATCTGAGGATCCCTGGTCACATCACCTGCCTCCACTGCTCCAAATCGCCCATTGCTCCCATAACAAGCAAAACAGACACAAAGTTCCTCTAGACCTGACTCCTGTCCCATTCTTACCTGTTCCAATTTTTTAAAAAAGAATACCTGCCAGTTCTGAAATCAGCTCCATCTTATCTCCAAGCCATTGCACATTCTGGTACCTATGCCTGGGAGGACCCACAACTTCTCATTCCACTGGTTGCCCCAAACAGGGACCACTTCATATGACACTGGACCTGGACTGAACATATGGGCTTGGTGTCTGATCAAGGTCCTCAGGTCGAAGGAGAGGAGAGTCCCAGGAGACCACTATCTCTTAGGCTACAAGAGTGGGAGGCCCTAAAATAAGTTCCACAAACTAGTACCCCGTAAGTGATTCTGCATTTGCGGAATCTGTGGAAAAATTAAGGTTTGCTGAGAGACTGTCAACCACCACCAAGATCCATGGACTCAGGTTGCTCAGTACCCTTACCCAGCCCTAGGGCCAGGTGACCTCGAGATGCCTGCATTACCTCAGGGCTCAGTCCTCAGTGCACACTCTTGCCAGATGCATTACTTTTATAGGACTTCTCCTTCCTGTCCCTAACAGCTCTCCTCTCTCTTCCAGTCTGTTCTTCCTCTGAGCATTTTGGGTAAATGTTTAGAAACCTGTCTCAGACTATATCCCTTGTTTCTGTCACTATCATGGATGGCCCCACCTTCCTGATCTTAATGTAATGTTACAGAGTAGTAAAATTTTTAGGCCTGCTTAATTACCTAGCCACCTCAGCAGCTTGACAGCCTGTGCAAAGTTTCTAGGAACTGAGCTCCCACACCTGAGCAATGGCCCACAAAGAACAAAGAGATCAACACATCCCCTCTGGGTCAGACCTCAGCCAGTCAGCAAGGCCACTCTCTGGATCTGGTTTGGAGCTCCCACACCTCTGGTGATTGGCCACCAAAGACTGAAGCTTCTCAGGCCCAGACAAAGCCCCACAGACAAAGCCCCACAGGACAGAGCCTCAGGTAAGAACTGTGGTGGCAGGTAAGCTAATCTCCTTTTTAATTGACACTGGGGCCATTTATTCTGCCCTCTCTAAATTCACTGGAACCCTTGTCCCCTCCTCAGTCTCTATTATGGGGGTTGACAGATTAGTGTCACAGTCAGTAGCCATCTTATCTTACTAAGTAACCCCTTATCCACTCTTCTTGCCAGAACTGAATGATACAGACATCCCCTCATAAAGCCAGCTGTCCCAAAAGGACAGTCACCTACCTCAATTTTACTCTCATTCCACAAAGCCACAACATTCCTTAGACTGTAAACACCTTATGTGCTAGGGTGAGGTACTGAGGCATGGAAGGGTTACGGAATGTGCTAGGGGAGGGACTGAGGCATGAAAAGGTTACCGATTGTATTAGGGTCCGGGATTGTGACAGAGAAAAATTGCTAGATTGTCTCAGAAAACAATGTATTATGATTCAACCCAGCCAGGTGTGACTCCGTTTACCTCCCCATTCGTACTTGTAAACTTTGTATGAACCCTGCCAGTGCCAGGAAATGCTTTGTAGTATTACAGATAAAAGGCTTTGCTGTACCCTTGGTCAGCACTGCAGTATGAGGTTCCCTACAGGAGGGGCGTACTGTAGTCAGCTGGCCAGCTTAATAAAGGCTCCTAAATTTAAATTCTGAGTCGGTGGTCTATCTCGCTGAGTAAACCCATAACACTTTAAGTAACCCAGAAATGAATAACAGGAGGATGAATAGCTTGGCTAAAACTATACAACTAGCTTTTGTAACTTGGCTTTGCTTGCTATGCGGAACCTGAACACGGATGTAGTTGTCCCCTTTAAATATTGAACTCTGCAGATGGTTGGGTCCGCTTCTCTCTTGGGCTTCCTGAGTGGAGGAGTGGACACTGGCCAGTCTCTAAATTTTAATCAGTCTGGAGTTCTGGTCATTCTGTCACTCGCGCTCCACAACAGTAACAAACATTCAAAACTTTAAAGAATTTTTGTGAGTTTATTTTAGCAAAACTGAATACAATTGGCCAAAAGCAGAATCTCAAAGTTTTGAGATAATGCTCGGGAGAATGGTGCTTTTTCCTTATTTTTTTACACTGCAATCAAAGGAGGAGATGTGAGTAAGCTACATGAAATCCAATGGTGATAGATTAGGGAGGCAAGAGCAAGTAAAGTAGGGAAACCTCTGGCATTAAATAAAAAGTAAAATGATAGACCTATGCTGCTTTACATAGGTTTGTACAGGATAGTTAATAGTCACTAACTAACAAGATAATAATAGCCGAAACCGGTTTGGCTCAGTGGATAGAGCGTCGGCCTGCGGACTGAAAGGTCCCAGGTTCAATTCCGGTCAAGGGCATGTACCTGGGTTGCGGGCACATCCCCAGTAGGAGATGTGCAGGAGGCAGCTGATCGATGTTTCTCTCTCATCGATGTTTCTAACTCTCTATCCCTCTCCCTTCCTCTCGGTAAAAAATCAATAAAATATATTAAAAAGATAATAATAACAATGAATGAATTTGTGGTCTCCACCCTGGCCCACTGGTTATTCCCTGAAGGGTCCAAAAAAAGGGAAGTTACAAGTTACCTTGACATTCCAATCATATGTTGTCATAGATGCAAAAAACAACAGACAGGCTTAGTTAGGTAAACCAAAAACCAAATATGTTACAACCTGCATATAACCAAATATGTTACAACCTGCATATAACCAAAAACACACTAACCACTTTTCCACGAGGGGAGGAAAAGTCCTTGAGTGATTTCTTTACTCTTCCAAGATATCTCATAGCTTAAGTAGTATGATATAAAATTAGCAATACTTAAGTAATATGATATGCATGTTATGTTGTATGATAAGGAAATAAGAGAAGGAATAAAACACATTTTTATACACACATGCACTCATAAAATAAAGAAGAAAAAGTCATGGCAATTACAGTCCTGATTCTTTTTTTCATTGTTTAAAGTACTACACATAGTAGCCCTAACCGGTTTGGCACAGTGGATAGAGCATCGGCCTGCGGACTGAAGGGTCCCAG